AAGGCAACTATGTTTCATGAATACAAGTTTATTTATGCCATCTCTTTTTTTTTTTGATATTTTAATTTCAATATCCTTTTTTAAAAAGGCATCTTGCGATAACAAAATATCCTCAACAAATTAAAGTTTCGGTGTTATGTTTTTGATTTGGTACCTTAGACAATATCTTGTTGTTTTTGTTTAAGTCCAAATTCTTTTTTTACAGACTACAAATTATATGACGAAACAAAATTAAGTGTATGCAAAATTTTAATGTTGGCTTTTTCTTTTTGTGGCCGGATTTTTTAAAAATTATACCTAAATAACGTATAAAGTAATTGTTGAACAAAAACAAGTCATTTCCTCAAAAAGTCCTTGTAAAATGGCTATTGATATCACCACTGGTCAATCAATCTAATCCCGGAGAGGCAAGTTCTACATACATGTTCATGAAAAAAAATTCTTAAATGGGATTTTTCATCATCATCAGGATAAGTGAACCTACAGCTACAGATTTCTCACAGATTCCCTGGGCGAAACAAGAAGGTGGAGTCCATGTCTCTCCCTTCTGCTTGGTTCCATCTGAGAGATCGTGTTGAAGAGATGTCACGTCAAAATTCGAAGCTGCTACAGAAGCTTTAGTCCACCTGTTACTTCATCAACAACTTCGACTGGTCCTGTGGAAGTAAACACCTCTAAGTGTTAGAATGCTGTGCTTATAAAAGCTGATGATGTCCGATAAACAATTTTTTACTAGAGGAATCTCATCTTTATTTCCCCATCATAGAACGGTGCATACGAATGTGGATACCACACAAAACTCTACACCCTCTTCTGACTGAGTCAACTTTTGAGCTAACATTTTCATATTTTGGATTCTTATGAGCTACAGATTCCATTCAGGGAGAAGGACAAGTACCAAGCGGTCATAGCAGCCTTGAACTAATAAAATAGTACACTTAGGTTTCTAGGGTAACTGCGATTTGCAACTCATCTCTTCTCCATAGGAATCATAGCTTTCAAACACATGACTTTGATCAGAATTAACAACTTACCAAGAATAGCCATAACTGTCCTTGAATCTGGAAAAGAACGCACAAGTATATTAGATCCACATTTTCGCAGTCCTAAATACTAAAGCACCAAGGGAATTGAAATTAGAGAGGGGCATGAACTATGAAACTAACTTGGAGCGATCTGCGTTCTTCCAGCATCAATGGTGATATGGGTAGGCAGTCTAAGGGATTTAGCTCTTTCCTGTCAATTTTGTAGACAGTCAGTCAATACAAGATCTAAGAATTGGGAAAAGCCAAGATAATCTCTACAAAATCTCAAACTCCTCTTAAAGATTCATGTCTAAAAATGTCAAGAAACTAACAATTACGCAATCCAATTTACAGTAACAAATTACAATTTGTTGTAGTAAACTCACTTGCAATTCGAGCATCTCTTCCTCGCCCTCGATTTTCACAACCACTTTTGGCTGTGCACATTCCTCCCAGCTGCAACAGAAACCAATACTGTTATTTCAATACATCTTTAAGTAACAAACGGACTCGATTATTATGACTTGGAAGGATACCTGTCCAATGCCTTTGGCGCTCGGCGAACGAGCTTCTTGTATAATCCTAAAGTTGCATGACTGCAAAAATTGCAAACCAAAAACGAAGTGAATCAGGACAAAAACGAAATGCAACATATGAATCAAACACTCAAGAGAGCAATATTAATCACCTGCATTGAGCTGCAATCTTCCCTTTACCCATTTTAAGATCATTCCTCACAACCAAAACCTGAAAGACAAAAACAGCAGATTCAAACAAACAAAAAGTCAAATTCAACATCTCTGCTTGTGTTTCGATTACAGTAACAGAGACAAATGTTAGTAAACGAACCATTTTGAAATCATCGAGGATATCAGCGAGTTTCTCGATCTCGAGAAGACCCTTTGGATTATTTTTGCTATCTCCATCATTACTAGGCACAACAACAGGTTTGGAACGACGAGTGCCAATGCAGAATCCAAGTGCAGCCCCAACAATTAGAGCACTCAACCACGTCAAATCCATCGCCCAATGATATAAAGACTCAATATTTATGTATCCTACAGAAACCGGAAGACACAAAAGTAATTACAATTGAAGAATCTAAAATTGAATTAAGCGTTCTCAGTAACAACGATCAGTTCGACGAAATCTAGATCAAGTTTTCTAAAATAGAAAGGGGAAGATTATATAATTATCAGTGAGGGTTTTGAAGAAGTGAAACGAAGAAGCTTACGAGTTCGAGAGAGAGAGAGAACGGCTTTGAAGATGAAGGCTTTTTTTTTTTTGGTTCACTCTCTGTGCGTGTAAGGGCAGAATTTTTGCTGGATTTGCTGAATTACTGTTGATTTTTTGTAGAATTTGCTGAATAATATCAAACTTAAATGGTAATAGCAGAATTTGCTGAATTTTCTTAAAATAGTAATTACTGTTGAATTTTTGCTGAATTACTGTTGAATTGCTGAATTTGTTGAATTTTTAGTGATTTTTTGCGGAATTTGCTGAATAATGGGTCTAAATGGTAACGTAATTCAGCATA